GGTTAGGGGTTGGCCTGGGTGTGTAATCCATGCCGTTCAGGATTGTTCCGGTGACATGGTGCAGCCAGCCTCTGTCTTCGCTTGGATCGGTTTCGATGTAGATGGCAATGTGGTTTCTCTGCGCACCAATGGATTCGGTGGTGAAGACTTTGAGAGCCATGGTTGGTGATTTATGAGGTTGTGTTGTTTAGTATATTTAGGTGCGAAAGCTGGGGTTTTAAGACCAAATGGGCTTGGGGTTTCATCATGTGGCTTGACAAGATATATTTCAGTCTCGCCTGAGGTCAAAGACAACCACACTTCTATGATTATATTTACAAAGACCTTGCTAGATATGTCTCATGATTCCTAAATATATACAAACGAGAGAAAATTTGTCACTTTGCGGTGAAAGAATACAGTCCCGACTGATCAATAGATACAGACCCTTTTGAGACCAGCATATTTTATGCATGGCGGCAAGAACTGTGCATATCCAAGCTGGTGGCTTCAAAGAAGACTATGGTGGATAGCTGGACATGATATGTTCCCGTGCTCCACAATTATGGGACTGTAGCTGTTTAAACTACAGGATATGCATTGTTGAAATAAAATAAATGATATGCAAAAGTCAGAACGCCGTCATGGCTTCCTGCCAGGTATGCATGATGCTGAGAAACAAATCAATTTCAGGGCACTCCTGTGCCCGGAGTACAACAAGTAGATGATGCCATTGTCTCTGATTGACTAAAGCTGATCAGGATTGGAAGTTCATGTTATAGCCGCCAGTCTTCGGGTCCTGGACGAACTTGAAGTTGTCTGTTGACAGACCAAATGGACTCAAGATGCCATTGCCAAGCTGCTCGATATCAGTAGTGCTCTATCATTTTGACATATATTATTCAGGAAGAAGTACTCACATCCTTCAGCTTGCCCATCATATCGCCCATCTCCTTCTCCCGCGCCTGATTGATGCGTTCGGGGAGTTCCCTCAATGCCCGTTGGACAACCCTTTTATCATCTGCCGAAAGGTTTTCAATCGCAGAAACCGCCTGGTAGTCCTCTGCGGCACCTTGCAGACTACCCCAGCCGCCAATTTGGGTCTTTGCCTTTGCACGTCTCATGAGAACCTTAGCTCGAAGTCGCATCACCTTGCCCCGCTGCTCATCCTGCTCTTGCAATCGTTGTAGTTCCTTCAACTCGGCTTCTTCGTCGTCTCCGGATAGTTCAACTACCGCATCTGTGTGCTTCTTTTCGGATTCTGGGATTCGTTTCCCTTTCGACTCGTTGCCCTCGTCCGGTGGGGTCGGCGGGATAATCTTACTCAGACGTTCGATGGAGATGGTTGCGGAGTCTACTGCAGCCTTCCAATCTTCCAATTTCAGATGGCAAGCAGCAATATTACTGTGGATTATGGCGACATCGTAGTCAAGGTAGTTCGGGCAGGAAGCGAGAGCTCGATCGTAGCAGGAGATGGCTTGGTCATAGCTTGTCGCGATAAACAGCTGGTTTGCCTCGGATTTGATTTCGTGGGCTTCTTTCAGGAGTTGCTATCGCAAGAAAGATTGAAGTCAATATGCGGCTCCGATCATAAGCTTGAACACCGTTACGACTCACGGCTTCTTCCTCGGCGGGAAAGTGGGCATCGTGGAAGACATCCTCGTCACCACTGTCATCAGCGTCATCGGGAGTACCTTTCCCGTCCCGTTCGGGCGCATTAGAAGAACTGCTCATTTTGTGAGCAGGTCGTCGTCGGGCGAGAATATCAGACGTTGCCAAGGGCTCAATCACGGGACTGATACTGATAACGTTTGTTCCCCGCGTCTTATCGAAACGTGGTCAACATCACTCTGACACCATTAAACAGACCATTACAACCATGGCTTCCACTAATGCGTGAGTGAATTAATCATGGTCGCACTTATACATCAATTGACTCGGTTGACAGCCTTCCCCGCATCCGAGCATGTCTCTTCGACATGGACGGCTTGTTGATTGACTCCGAGGATTTATACACTATAGTCACGAATGCAATTCTCCAAAAGTACGGCAGACCCCTGCTTCCCTGGTCAATCAAGGCGCAGATGCAGGGTCGACCCCAGCCGGAGGTTCGTCCCACACTATATATCGTGATGTATGCGTGTACTTACGCAATATCTAGGCCGGCAAGATCTTCAAAGACTTTGCCCAGCTCCCCATCAGCGAGCAGCAGCTGAACGAGGAGCGAACAGCCCTTCAGGAACACTACTTCCCACGCGCAAAGCCGCTCCCCGGTGTGCCGACTCTGTTGTCCAACCTTGTGTCGACGCAGTCAACCGATGAGCCCGTGTACATCGCGCTAGCAACATCATCGCACAGATTCAACTACAAATTAAAGACCGATCATCTGACAGAGCTGTTCTCGCTTTTCCCTGAACATAATAAGGTTCTTGGTGATGATCCGCGCATCGGCAAGGGTCGAGGCAAGCCGCTTCCTGATATCTACTTGCTTGCGCTGGAGACCATCAACAGTGAGCTGCGCAGCAAGGGGAAGACTGAGATCAAACCGGAGGAGTGTCTCGTGTTTGAGGATGCGGTTCCAGGCGTTGAGGCTGGTCGTCGTGCCGGCATGCAGGTTGTTTGGTGCCCCCACCCGGGTCTCCTAGGAGAGTTCAAGGGCCGGGAGGAAGAGGTTCTCGCTGGAGCCACCGGATCGCACAAGGAGGATGAGAAGTCAGATGCCGAGAAAGAGGTGGAGGAGCTCCAGGCCTGGCGTTTGCAGGGTTCTGGAACCCCTGGGAAGATCGGTGATGGGTTTGGCCAGCTCTATTCCACCCTGGAAGACTTCCCATATGCCAAGTATGGCATTCGGATTCCCTGAAGACTGGACCTGAGGTTTCTGAGACAGTACATAGTACATATTGCATGGATTTGGTACATAGTCAATACAGGTTACATGAGCGCGGTAGAGCGTCTAGCTAGAAAATAATTTACATTCACGCAGTGATTCAATTAATGGCTTTTTGATTTCTGGATATCTAGAACGCTTCTCTGTACGGATTCCGATGGAATACATATAGCAAGGGGACGTAAGAGTAAGACCGGTTCTCTTTTTGCAGTTCAAACCGCGGGGTCTAAGTCATGGTTTGTGTCGGGTTCTGACAACAGAAATGGCATTGACCAGACCTTGAGGCTGTTATCGGGATTTTTCGCTGGAATATATTCGCCAGAGGAATCATCTGAAACAAGACGTTGTTGCCCAGAGCAGGTTGCAACAACACTTCCCATAGGGTGAAACATTGTACTCGTCACGGCATCTGTCATACATTAGCAATGAGCATCTTGGGGATTGTCAAAGGACTTACCATCATGCACCTTGAACTCCCAATCGGGATCCTTCCCACCTGCACAGTGCTCTGGACTCCTCCAAACCCTTATAAACCCATCGGTACCACCAGCCCAAATCTCATGAGAGCCATCAGGACCAGATGGAACAACATCAATTTTCATGCGTTGATTTGTAAGAGCCTTGCGCCCGCGCAAGTGTCCAAGCAGTTGCCCCGTAACTCGAACATCATAAACCAGAATGCCATCACTCTTACGCTCGGCGACATAAAGATATCTGCCACAGGGGCTCCATACAAGCTGTGTAACTCCACGACCCCCTATATCACGGTTTGCGTTGGTTTTCGCCACGCTGAAAGTCCCAAGGAGCTCACCCGAGCCACTTGAGCTGTACAATCCAACGTGTCTGGTGAAAGTACCCGCAGCAAGGATACCGTCCCCACTGGGGTTCAGAGCCAGGGCGGAAACAATGCCCTTCATGCCAATACCGCCACCGACAATCTGCTTGCGTTTGCTGGGGATGGTTGGCATTGAGCTCACAGGGCCATGTGCTCCTGTTCGGGACACGTCAAAGAGACAAACGAGACTATCTGAGCCTGTGAGGAAGTGGGTCCCACCCAGCAGGGATGGGTAGATCATTGAGTGCGGAGTTATGAATGCTTCTGTCATTGGATTTACCAGATAGTAGCTCGCCACTGATATGGGAGCTAGGGCTGATGATAGCCGAATTGGATGATCACGAACAGATGAGAGGAATAGAGTAGTGGATGGATCTTGAAGGTTGTAGAAGGGATAGATTGCGGTAGCATAAGTCGGCTCCGCTGAGAGTAGAGTTGAGTATGGGGATAACTGGTGCATGGGCTTGTCCTCCAGTAGATCCGGCGGCCTGGCTGCGTGAGTGAGATAATCAATATAGGGATGACGCGCCAACTTACAAGATCCATGTTCTGATAGAATGATTCGCTGAATCTGTCAGCAGAGTAGTTCCGTCTGGCGTCCTATACACCACAAGTTCAGTAAAGGTTGATCCTGGGTCACGGTACTAGTCTGACCATTCTGCACTCTTGAAATAGCCGAACTCGGTATCTTGATCGATGAATACACCACCAGAGGTCGCCACTGGCTCACTTTGGACTGTTGATGATGAATTTGAAGAGAGTTGTGATGGATCTGATAACTCTCTCTCACTTTGTCGTCTTGTTGATGCCACGCATACTGGCGTCCACTCTTTGGCATTCGCGTCAGCCATAATGACAAATACTGTCAGTTAAACTGGACGGCTGCCTTCGCTGAAGGCTTTAGATGCAGCTCATTTAATCAGTGACTCATTCAATGGCAAAGCTCTGAATAAGACCGGAATCGAAAGGAGAATGGACAGGTCAAGTCGGACATCCATGGATTGATTGTATCAAAAGTCCACGGCGGTCACATGAGTGACATATCAATGTGGTTTAGAATGAGATGCCAATTGTACTATGCATTTTCCAAGTATCGAACAAAGCCATACAAACGAAGTATAAAAACGAGTAGCCTTTCCAAGCTGGGAAAGGTCGGGTCGGATAAACAAAGTACCGAGAAGCTTCGCGCATTCCGCAAATCGCATTTGCGCAGCTTCCAAGGTCTGTTCCTATTGAGGGACCTATTGACAGGTTCCATTCTCATTTCAGAATTCGAGACCTATTGTCATATTAGCAATTATGTTTGCTCCCAAGGCAGCGACGCCTGCCACAGGTGGACTTTCCCTCAATACAAACTCCACCAGTTCTTTGTTGTTAGTGCTCCCATTCATCTTTGTCTCCGATTACACCTATCAGACCTATCTCTATCGCCTGACCCCTTGCTTTGATTCGAATCGCTTCCTCTCTCAATCCCTCGTTGTTCCCAGCTCGCAGACTGGGGTCACGTTAGTCCCAGGCAGAAAAAAAAAAGCTAACCGCAACCTCCCATCAACAGTGGCGGCAACACGGCCACATCAACAGCTACTCCTGGCGCAACTAATACCAGCAGTCTCTTCGGGAACACTGCGAGCTCGACAGCTCCTAAACCAGCAGGAGGCTTGTTCGGCACGGCCACGGGAACCACACCAGCACAACCGACTGGATCCAACATGTTTGGAGGTCAACAGCAGAGTGGTGCGACCGGCAGTAGCCTTTTTGGAGGCGCAAATACCACTACACAGCCTTCTGGGGCAAGCAATTTGTTTGGATCAACTGCTGGCGCTGGCACCGGCACGACTCAAGGAACAACGGGTGGTGGTTTAGGTGGCTCTCTTTTCGGCGGCGGTGCGTCTACGGCTCAGACTCAAGCAAAGCCAGCCTTCGCTGGGCTCGGAGGTGGTCTGCTTGGTGGTGGATTAACAGGAGGAGGTACGGGAAGCATGTTGTAAGTGCCCGACCATTTCCTCGTCTCGTGTCATGGCTATATTCTAATAAATCCCAGCGGTGGCGGCCAGAACACAGCCCAACAACAACAACAACCTCAAAAACCTACCCTCTCTCTCTTCGGCCAGCCAGCGCCCGCACAGACTACACCACTACAACAGAGCACCGCTACTAGCACAGTAATCCCGGGCGTGAAAGTCGACGTTAGCAATCTCCTGCCAACCACAAAATTTGAGAGCTGCGCGGATGAGATCCGTAGCCAAATCGAGGCTATCGACAAGCACATCCTGAACCAGGTGAAGATGTGCCATGAGGTCGGAGATCTGCTCCCGACCATCGAAAAGCAGGGGGCCGCAATTCCTAACGACGTTGAATTTGTACAAGGCAAATTGGAGACCATGCAACATGCGCTTGAGAACGATGCGGGTGACATTGATGCGCTGCGCAGCCTTGTTACACGGGATGCGGCCGAGGCCCAAGTTGCCTTCCGAGCCATCGATACGCTGAAGCTCCCTCTACAATACCAGTCGACTGGCGGTGGGTGGTGGTCTGTGCAGGATCAACAGATTCCGGAGCGATCTATGCGGTCGAGTCGCAAAAACACACTTGCTCTTCCCGACGGCGTTGAGGGTGACGCGTCTACGGACGTCAATGGAATCCCCGTCAACCTGGTCGATTACTTCTCTCATCGCTCGAAGGAGATGAAAGAAGTTCTTACAAGATATACCGGCAACCTCAAAGAGATCGAGGACCATCTTCATGGTGTTGAAGCTACGCTCAACCGTCAAATTAGCGACTTTGTGAGCTCCAAGTCGCGTGAGGGATCTGCAGGGACACCCCGGTCTTCCCTCAGTGAACTGTCGGGTGTTCTCGCAGATGTTGAGGCTGGCATCATGGGTGTTGCCACTCGTCTGAGCAATGTATCGGAGCAAGTCCAAGATTTGTCGATTGGACAGCAGTCCCTTGGCGATGGCCGGCTTCATCTGGGATAGATAGGAGAATTTAGCGAGTTTGATCTGTATTTTTATGGAGCTGATCTTCAGCATGCGAAATATGACATCCACACAGTTGATCTGTCAAGTCCGAACTCTCATTAGTCTGAGACCTAATTGTCGACCTCGGAAACATGTAGCCATATATCGTAAGACAATACAACACAGTCTAGACCCCTGGGCTTGAATCTTAATAATTAAAGTCGAATTCTTTAGCCAATCCAATGCATTCAAGAACTATAGCATACTAACAATAGCTGCATGTTGTTGTACCAACTAGGCATGGGGCCAGTGAGGCTGATGAGTAACCGTCGCAAAAACCCGCCACTCTTGCGTGATCGTCTCCTTAGCGCCATTCCTAATCTCAACATCCACTCTCCTGCACGGGACATCAACACCTCAATCCTTTGAACACGCGTTCAGGGGATATTGACTTGGTTGGAGCTCATCTCTGAAACAGCGGTGAGAGCTGATATATCGACCGAGCAGCAGTTTCCCATGTTGATTTGAGGAAGATGGCCAATTTCGCCTTCAACGTCAGCAAAATTGCGTGATTACCTTGAATATCCCAGAGGAGAGAGAGCGGGTCTCATCGCAATACAATATCCATCACGAACCAGTTATCTCGTACCCAGGCACTCCATTATATTTGCCTGAGGTGATTCATTTGAGAAATTGCGCCATCTCCGTGAACTCCGGGGCCATGCAAGATCCGTCGTCGTTCCAGAATGGCGTTATCTGGGGTTGACTCACTTGGCATTGGATGTTCTATATAAGTCAGTTCGCCCTCTTTATTCGAACTTAGTTCCATTCTTTGATATCAATAATCTCAATAATCTTCCATTATCACTCTTCCGCATTTCATCTTTCGCATTCCAACCTCCGCATTTTCATCTTCCGCGTTTAATTTCACATACCATACATCGTCTATTGCGTTAAAGATGGCCCCATCACTGGAAGAGCCCGTAGTGACTGTGGCCCCAACTGTGGCCAAGTTCACCGTTCCTGTCCTTGCGCGGGACGCTGGTGACAACAAATTCGGCTATCAGCCCGGCCAGACTCTAGTCACCCGACACGACAACTATGCACACGAAGATCTTTTGCCCTCATTCCCGGATCTCCACTGGGCCCCGCTTGAATACACTCCCTACGAGGACAAGGGACTGCGAGGAGACGCCAAGTTCCGCAACCTTCTGAGGGATGCCACAGCCGTCTTTGATTACAACCCTAAGATTGGAACTGAAATCCATGGTGTTGATCTCTCAAAGCTTGATGATGCACAGCGCGATGACCTCGCCCGGCTGATTGCATACCGAGGCGTTGTCTTTTTCCGCTCCCAGAAGAACTTCGATATTGAAGCTCAACGCAAACTGGGCGAATACTGGGGCAAGCTGCACAAGGTAAGATATCTGACTTTGAGCTCATTCATGAGTGGATATACTAACAAGATATAGCACGCCACCACATCTGTTCCTCGCAAGGCAGGTCTCGAGGACGTCCATGTCGTTTACGCTGGCGACAACGCCCCCGACAACCGTGCCCTCTTCACACCCAGTTTCCTATGGCACTCAGACGTGACCTATGAAATCCAACCACCGTCCTACACATCTCTCAAGCTTCTCTCTGGCCCACCCCGAGGAGGCGGTGGCGACACCCTCTGGTCCTCGCAGTACGCCGCCTACGACTTGCTCTCCTCGCACATGCAAAACTATCTCAAAGGCCTCACAGCCCTCCACTCGGCCGACATGCAGGCCAACGATTCCCGAGCCCTAGGCCGGCCAGTGCGCCGGGAACCCGTCACCACCGAACACCCACTCATTCGGACGAACCCAGTCACCGGCTGGAACTCACTGTTCTTCAATCCTGGCTTTGTGAAGAAGATCGTCGGTATCCCGACCGCAGAAAGCGACGCTATCATCTGCTTCCTCACCGATGTGATCGCCACGACCCAGGAGATGCATGCCCGCTTCTCATGGGGCCAGGACGATGTCGCGCTTTGGGATAACAGGTCTACCAACCACAGTGCTTCTTATGGCTTCACGCCCCATCGCCGCCATGCTGTGCGTGTTGCGGTCCACGCCGAGAAGCCTGTGCTTGAAGAGTCTGGAAAGTCTCAGGAGGATGAATCCAATGCTTTGTCTGGACTGCCGGCAGTCAACAAGGACGGGTCTCGCCAGTCGAACTACAACGACTAGGTGGACTGCAAAGGGTTCATGGTAATCGGAATATGTTCTTTCTCTCATAGCACTTAGCGACATATTACAATCAGCGAAATAAGCGAAATATTATCTTTCTTTTCTTTTCAATCATTACATGTGCCAGTTCAGATAAGTATCTTGGTGTTTGGTCTCAGTCTCGTGCCTACCTAGTTGGGACTGTGTGTTGTCTCCCGTACCTTCCCAATTCACCACCCAACTCCCTCACCAGGGCAACTCCCCCAACTCTTCAGTCCCCTTTCTCTCGTAAACCAATCTTCTCTCGTCACCACCTCTCACTCCTCCTTCTCCTCTCCTCTCCCCTCTCCTCTCCTTTCTGTGCGACAAAATGGCTTCCAACCAGCCAACTCTTCTTGAATACGCCAGATTCTACAATGTCGCAGAGGACTACACTAAGCTTTGTCCAATTGATTACGCAGACGAAACATGTGAGCCGCCAATTTTTGTTCCCGCTATTGAGGGTCTCGAGCCCGAAAATCCAGAGGAACGCCTTAAAGAAATCGATGAACGCTTCTGCACTGACCTCCTGATGGAGAGGCTCGAAACTAAGCCTGAGGATCTGGAGCTGCTGAGCGGATGTCTCCAGCTCGATTCCGTCAAGGGAAACATCTGGCGCGGCATCCTTCCTCAAGTGATGACCTCTGACCTCAAAGACGAGCCTATTCTCCTCACAACCGAGGATGAGAGAATGATCGCTTCGTCCGAGTTTCACGCTGCTTTCGCTCAGAGTCCGGCTACATCTTCTTCGTCTTCTGCTCCGGTTCGTCTGGTTGTTCCTAGTGGTCCTGATGTTCCTGTTGTTCCTGTGAACACGCGGGATATCTTTAATTACTACAATTCGGGCTTGCCTCAGTCAAACATTGCTGATGGTTTTACTATTCCTCGCCATGTTCCTGCCGCATGCCCGAATATTACTAGTGCGACTTCTCATCGTGATGGGGACGCCTTTCCCCCCTTAATGGGTTCATCTGGGATGGTGCCTCAGTTTGTCAGTATTGAGACCGACTCTATTGACTACGACAGCGGGGCTTATGATCGGTACACTCACAATGAGGCCGACCCCTTTGACTTCGATAGCGAGGCTTACGGTCTGAGTGTACCGAGCTCTGAGGTGAGTACTTGACTGGTGATTATTGATGGGACTAGCTAACCAAGACAAGCATCCCACCGAAAGCGAATTCAGTGCATTTGATTTTGAGAACGCCGCGTCCTCGCCTCCATTCTTCGATGTCAGTTCATGCAACAAATCGCAACCCACTTTCACTGATGTTTCTCCCAATCTGACCAAAGAAAAAGGATTCTCCGTTGGCAGGGTTGACAGCCAGAAAGCGCAAGTACCGAGAGCTTTGAAGGGAAAGAAAGGAACGAAGGATTTTTTGGAACCTGTGGCGGATCCAGGAATACCTTGTGAACAGGAGGGAGTCGTGGCCGCTTCTCTCAGTACGCTTCATGAAGGCAAAATCGTGTCAAAGGGCTGTTCGAGTTCCTCAGTAACACGGCCAGCAAACGATCAAATCATCACCCAGCTAGCCCGAGATTCGCAGAATGCAAACGATAACCATGTTTCCTTCAAACCTCCTTACGAGCAAAACCTCAGTACTACGGCAACACATACTTCCTCAGACATGGACAAGAGAGAGTCTTGCCTCGCTCAGATGGACCTGTTTCGTATGAAATTGGGCTACAAGTCACCCTCCACAGGATTGAGACAAGACCCTTTCAAGCCTCCACTTCCTATTTCTTCTGTAGATTCTAAAAAGACACCGAAATCATTCAAAGCAGTGTCTGGTGACCTCGGGTCGCTATCCTTATTTATGCGAACCAGAGGCAGTGATGGAGGATATATCACCTCGTCGAATGATCCGTCGTCCCTTTCCCTGTCAGGGTCCACAAGAATTGGAGAAGGCGAGTTCTCAAACGACCCTTCACAGATGGGTGACAGTCCCCCAGACCCTAATGATAGACCCTCGGGTCTGTCTCGCTCGCCGAGCCCTGCCTTTGCCATGCAGGAGATTGTGACCAGATCGGCATTCTACCCGCCCCCGAGGTTCTTCTTGTCTACCACCCTCCTAACCACTCACCCGTTAGTCGTGCGAGATATGGAGGGGTGGCCAACTGATCCACCCAAATTGATCTACAGAGACTATGAGAACGCTGATTCCCGATACCAGTGTGATGCAGAGATCCTTCTGGCACCTGATACTGGGCTTATTCTGACAACCCCGCATGAGCTGACCCAGCGGTATCTTCCAGGGCATGGACCAAGGGATACAAGGTTCAATGGAATCGTGGGAATTAATTCCCCGTTCAGGGAAAAGATTTTCCGCCTCATGCATCGATATATGCTTCTAGTTATCCTCATCTGCAAACCTGATAGAGCAGACGTCAGCAGAGTTGCGAATGCTTCTCTGAGAAGAGAAAGCCAGTCGCTCGCTGAATTTTGTGACAGCTACGAGGAACTATCCACAACGTTACTGATACCGATCCCGAACCACTCGTTATACATTGTATTGTGGTGTTTCGGAATGGGGAGACTTCGATACGATTTGTTTCCCGCTGAGATGATGGAAAATATCACAGAAGAGGAGTCCGACTATGAAGTCGCTCTCCGCGACCTGGGGATTAATCCTTTCGCGGCGCGCTTCATTTTGGATAACATTCGCGTTCGTGATTTCAGCCAATATCCACCTTCCTTTCCCTCTCATGAGACAATTGCCAATGCCAGCGCAGATTCAATGGCTTTCGATGTGTTTATAAATATGGAACGCTCGCGGAGGATTAGGG